ATCATTTTATATTCCTTAAGGTGATGCAAAGAATAGTAGATAAATTTGGCACAGTTGAATAAGTTAAAGGTGTCATAATGCCCTTGAACTTCATTAAGCCTAATATCCAAAAAATGCTTCGTACTCAAGCAAGCTCTGACTGATTTTTTGGTCGAGAAATTCGAGTGTCAGTCCTCTAAGGCATCGTGTTCAACTGGCTTCTTATTCGAGAGTTACCGACATTTTCATAGCATATTCATTCGATGTATATAAGACACTGCACTCAAGTCTGGAACGGCCAGCAATCTCTGTAAGACAACTGGTGTGTGGCAGTTGTGAAAGTTACTACACGAAGTCGCAATAGAATGAGGTATACCGCATTTAATGAAACCGTCTCGATTGACATCGGACATTTCGGTCCGCTTGCCTTCAGTTGAACGAACAGGTTCATATGCAGATTGCATATATTTCCATACCACCAGCAGCTCTTGAATAGAAAATGTATCCACATTGGAATAAGGTGATGAACGATGGATAGTTGAATCTTCACATAATGCTATGAATAGGCGTCATGATGCCATTGAATTTCAATTAAAACTAGCTCCAAAAAATTGGCATAATCTCGGCTGGACCGGACTACAGTTTCGAACCCATCTGGATCTATTCAGAATTCTCCTCAAACGAGAATCAAGCAGGTGTATTGCAGCATTTATTTTCGACACACCTCTAATATGCTACTCCTTGTTCTTATCCAAGATCGAATGGTGCCAAGGAAACCTACTCAAGCTGAATATAAGCAATGTAGTCGATTGTCTTTATCACCATCAAACTGTAAAATCGTATATGATATAAGTCTTGCTTGTCTTCACATTCACGCCTCTCTCGTTACCCACTTGCATTCGTGAAGGTGTGGCGTAATATGTCAAAAGTGTACACTGCGCTACCCAGCCTTGACTCCGATTGGGGGTACTGATGAGACCAAAATCGATTGACAAACTGTAGTACAGCACTTGTAGTACCGGCAGAAGAACACCTTTTGAGAGGAAAGACAATAGGAAATTCAATGTTATCAAAAAGTGTATTCATATCAGTTTTTCATCACATTACGCGGCCTAAGATGGATGCAGTTCTTATTCAAACAGGCTCACACTGATTCAAATGTAGTGCATTAAGATGAGATGCATTCATCCTGTTTCGGTTACATCTCATTAATATATGATCTAATGGTGGTCTCTAAGACCTACACATCAACTAAAAATAGGTACTGTCGTCGATTGCTGAAGTGGATTGACCTCGTTGTCGCAACTTGGTATTGTGTTCAGGGAGACTATGTAGAACGCACCGAGTCCGAAGTCGT